ATTTTAATTTGTGTATAAGAGTATATATGATTACATATCAAAAATTTTTTAAAGATATAGTAAAAATATAGTTTTATATAATTTTTTTGTATCTGACATGATACTAATAGAGTTATTTCGTAATTTGATATGGAATATCTCTGAAGAGCCATTCTCTTAAAAAAAGAAATTCTCCGTGTATAAAATTATACGGACATATTCGGCATAAATAAATTTGCATAATTAGATATAATAATTGTAATTTGTGTATAAATATATGTGAAAAAGTTTTTACCGGGTTGTGCTTAATATGCGTGAATGCGTTATTATAATTCGAATTCTATAGGGTATTTGCGGAAGTCCTTGGCCAATGCTGAATACCGTTGCACGATCTTTGGGATATTACGAGGACGCGCCGACAAAGAAGTGTCCGAAGGATGGTCTGTTTCGGGATCCGGACAATTGTTCAGGATTTTATTCTTGCATCGAAGGTAAATTTGTACCTTTATTTTATTTTTTTCGAGATGCGTGTGTGTGGGTGTTATAATTAAAATTTAATTTAAAAAATGAAAAAAACTCAAATAAAACTTAACCAAGCCAAAATCCAAGAATTTGTTTTTTTTTTCAAAGAATATTTTTTTTTTATTTTTCAAGGATTGCAGCATCATGGCCATTGCGGATACAAGCGTTTCTTCGATCCGATCGAGAGACGCTGTGTTGTGGCTACGATAGAAGAATCTTCAGAGATCTGCAAACTTAGTATTTTTGATCAACTGGTCGGTCAAGGTACGTCATCCGCGACATCATCGGAGCCAAAGAAAATGTTGCTGCGACAGGAAGGTCCGCGAGTTGTGTGCTACGTTACGTCCTGGGCTCTTTATCGTAAAGGGGACGGCAAGTTCGTGCCGGAACATGTGGACTCGCAACTCTGCACCGATATCGTCTACGCATTTGCTGGGTTAAATCCCGAAACTTTACTGATCCAGACGTTCGATCCTTGGGCCGACATCGAAAACAGTAAGCAAAACTTAAAAATTGTCCGATTCCAATCTCATCTATAGCGAATTTTTTATCAATCTTTCGTTAAGGGAATCCCCTAAAGTGGATCTGTTTTATCGGTAAAACTGAATTTTTTCTGCACACTAATCTTTTTTTTTTGGCTGTATGAATTGACAAATCTTTTTCTAGAAGCAAAGTACATATAACAAGAGATTCAGGAAGTCCAAATTTATATAACAAAATTTAAAAAAGTGAAATTTGTAAAACATTTTTTTTTTAGAATGCTGAACCGTTCTGTTTTACCGGCACTTCTTATTTTGCAATTTATTTTGCGCTCATTGATCGGAATAAAAAAACGCTTCTCCAGAATTAAAGAGAATATGCCAAAGAAGTGTGGAAAGTTCGAGAACATTCAAGAAAAACAAAAAAAATTTTATGGACTGTTACCACATGGTTTACATTTTGAATCTGAACAAATGTTATACTTACCACTTCTAGAAACATAAACGATCATTTTGAGTGTCTCGGAAAAGAATTTTGAAGCTTGTAAGAAAGAAAGACAGTTGCAAAATAAGATTGATGCAGAAGAAGCGCGACACATACGTTTATCCTTGTTTCTATCGTGTCATCTATCCTTGTTTTGGTCCGACTAGAGGGCGCCACTTACCGAACACAGCGTAGCGGCTGAGCGGCGGTTGAACCGTCGCTTCAACATCTTCTTAAAACTACGTTAAATGATTGTTAAATGATTATTTACTTTGTTACAGATTTATACAAACGAATAACTTCGATCAAAGGATCGAGAATTTTTCTCGGCTTGGGCGGCTGGACGGACAGTGCGGGTGACAAGTATTCTCGACTGATTGGCAGCGATTCCGCTCGTCGCAGATTCGTCACGACTGTGATAAACTTTCTGAAAGAACATAACTTTGATGGGTTGTCGCTCGAGTGGAGTTACCCCAAGTGCTGGCAGAGCGACTGCAAAAAAGGTCCGGATTCGGACAAGCCGAACTTCACCAAGCTGGTGCAAGAACTACGAGATGAGTTCAACAAGCAGGATCCGCCTCTACTCCTGGCCGTTGCCATGGCGGGTTACAAGGAGGTTATTGACAAGGCGTACGAGGTGCGCGAGATTTCGCAAGCCGTCGATTTCATTTCCGTTAGGAGTTACGATTATCACGGTGCCTGGGAGTCCAAGGCGGGACACGTAGCACCTTTGTTCTATTCACCTGGTGACAGCAATCCTTTTTACAATGTTGTAAGTTCGAACTTCGTAACGATACGCGTGTATCATATAGGTGTGGCGGAATGGAGTATTACGTGAAATGAAAATCTGTTGCAGAATTTCACAATGAACTACCTCGTCAAACTCGGGGCTGAAAAATCCAAGCTTTTGCTTGGTATTCCGTTGTACGGTCAATCTTATCGACTCTCAATAGCAACCCAAGCCGAGCTGGGCGATCCCACAACCGGTCCCGGTAAACCGGGAGAGTTTACCAAGCAACCTGGAATGTTGGCTTATTACGAGATCTGTGAGAAGATCAAACGAGAGGGTTGGAAAATTGGGATCGGTGAGTATATGTGGTTGGCACGATTTATAACACTTAACGCTGTATCTCAGGTCAGAAAAAAATTAATATTGTATTGTATCTAAAATATTTATTTAGGTCCAAGCGCTCACTTCGAAGATCAGTTGGTGGGTTACGAAGATCGTGAGAGCGTCTACGCAAAGGGTAAATACATCATAGGGAATGGCTACGGTGGTGCTACAATGTGGACAATCGATTTGGACGATTTTCAAAATCGCTGCTGCTTAGAATCTTATCCTCTGTTGAAAACTATAAATCGCGCATTAGGTTCGTATCAAGCTATTGTTAATGTTGTTAATGTGTGCTTTCTTTTTTATTATGTTATATTAATATTATAAGAAATTATAGTATTATTATTTATTATAAAAAATCTTTTGATATTTTTAATAATACTGTAATTTCTATACCCGGTAAAAAATTTTTCACATAAACTTATACACAAATTAAAATAATTATATCTAATTATGCAAATTTATATGCCGAAAATGTCCATACAATTTTATATACGGAGAATTTCTTTTTTTAAAAAAATGGCTCCAGAGATATTTCATATCAAATTACAAAATAACTCTATTAGCATCATGTTAGATACAAAAAAATTATATAAAACTAATTTTTACTATATTTTTTAACAATTTTTGATATATAATCATATATACTTATACACAAATTAAAATAATTATATCTAATTATGAAAATTTTATATACCAAATATGTCCATACAATTTTATACATGAAAAATTTTTTACCGGGTATTTCTATATAATTAGTAGTAATTTAATTACTTCCAGCTTAGGCCACAAGAAGTGCCCTTACGAAAAAGAACTACTGGCAGTAATATATTGCGGCAGTGGTACGAAAAAATTACTGGCATTCTGTGTAATTACCAGTAATATTCTCAGTGATTCCTGTAATATCTGATGATATTCTTATGTGATTGTCAGTAATATTTATATTACTGACTTTATTTATATGTAATCGGCAGTAGTTCTTTTTCGTAAGGGTGGACTTGGACTTACACAATAAACTCTTACCTCTCGCATTCATTCACCTATATCCATTCATATTTCCCAACTATATTTATATCACGAATAAGAATACTCGTTAACAAATTAATACGCAATGGATAAGACTATACGAGCAATTATACTGGTTGTTGGTGTATTTTTTTTATAATAATTCCTTTATTCTTTTGATTAATCATAATCAAACGTTTCGATCTTTAATTTAGATCTTCTTCAGTGATAGTCTAATATTCCGAAGAAAGGTTATTAGTTAAGTTGTTTATAAATGTTTTGACATTGTTAGTGTATGTGAACCTAGAATACTTCGGAATATTAGACTATCACCGAAGAAGATCTAAATTAAAGATCGAAACGTTTGATTATGATTAATTAAAGAATAAAGGAATTATTATAAAAAAAATACACCAACAACCAGTAGTAATTGCTCGTATAGCCTTATCCATTGCATATATACATATATTTATATCTATATTACATTTACATATATATTACATTTACATATATATTACATTTTGTACTTTACTCTTCTATTTCCATATATTTCAGGTCGATTGTCGACGCCTATCTCGGAGAATTGCGATCGTCCACCTCAACCGGTAACACCCCAAGCGCCAACATTGACCACCCATAGTGACGCCGCGAATGGTATTCCGCGACCGACTTCGCCAATGACAACGTCGACCACTAAATCAACCACGTGGCCCACATGGACCGAGAGACCGAGCACCATCACCACCACGACCAAACAAACAACGAGAACCACGTGGCCTTCGTGGACTTGGACGAGACCAAGCAAGATCCCAGAAAGTTCAACAAAACCTGGTTCGACTCAAAAACCGAGTACATCCGTTACCACTGCCGCTTCTACATCAAGGTAAAGAAACCTTTGGCAATTATCGATGTTTCTTTGTTTTGTACTTTTTAATAAGTTAAAATCTAACGCTTTTGTATAAAATTTTGACGCGGTTAATTGAAATTTATTCAAAAATTCTGACACAGACCATCGAGCACGCAACCAATGACGACGCAGAGACCCATGACCACACCTGAAAAAACGGATTGCATGAACGGCGAGTATTACAGCGATCCCGAGAATTGCGGCAATTATTACAAATGCGACCGCGGCGTGTTGAGGCGCGAACAGTGCGCGCCTGGATTGCATTGGGATGCTAAACGACATCTCTGCGACTGGCCATCAGCGGCAAAATGTCAAGCGGGCACTACTACTACTGGTACGCTTACTTTTTATTCTCACCCGGATCTCTACGCAACACAATCGACATCGTTTCTCTTTCTCTTTTCTCGGCCGCGAAAAAAAAAAACAAGTTTTGTTTAATTAAACAGCTTGGAAATAGTTCCAAAGTGAAGCACAACTCCGAGTTTAAAATTACAACCGATCGTTTCGATGTGGGATGATTGCGCGCGACGATCTACCCGCGCGGGTTCAACGGCATTAAAAGAAGAAAATTGCTTTCGCAATGACATTGACTCATGAAAATGGAAAAACGTCGGATTCCTTTGCTGGAATCTTCTCCGTCCGGTGGGCGAGCACGTGGATATGTCAAGACTCTCGCAAACAAACCTGTTTGCAAGAGTCCCGCGCATGCAAATATCCTTGCACATACAACACGTATATATCTTGTCGCGAGCTGTCGCCTACGGCAAAGGAACGTTCGCGCATCTTCCCCATTTACTTTGTTCATTGCGAAGCGAAGATACCGGTATATCGACAAGGGCATAAGCGGCTCCGCCTGTTCGTTCGCACACAACTTGTCCTTTTCTTATCGTCGCGTTCGTTCACGTACCGCAACTATGGCTCTGTTATTACGGCGTTTTTGTATAATGTTGATCTTTTTGTCATCAAATTGCACCGCGCTGGAAATATACAAAATCTCTTATCGAGGTGCTTATGTTTAATTTGTTTAACATTATATGTGATGTTTATTACAATACACGTTTTATTTATTTTTACGTTTCTTTTCCTCAGCTTCGAGCGGACCTTCATTGAGCTCGACGAAGAAACCGTCTACAATTACCGAAACTACGACAACTTCGACGACAACCTCGACGTCAAGAAGAACAACGACGACGAAGATGACCACAAGGTTCACTACGTCAAAACCTGTCGTTTCAACGTCGACGCAATTGCCGCAAAAACCGTGCGAACACGGAGAATATTATCCCTATCCGGGTTCGTGCGTGAACTTCTTTGTATGCGTGAACGGTAATCTTGTTTCGCAACAATGCGGCCCGGGTTTGAACTGGAACACCGAAAAGAACACGTGCGACTACGCCTTCAAGAATCCATGTGTCGAAAAGCAACCGAACAAGAGCGCTCTGCTTATGGAAAAGGATACCGTTTTACCTGTAAGTATACGCCAATCTATTAATGTTCATAGCCCAGATAGCCAAATGTGAAAACTCAATATAAAGCAAATCATTGTATGGATTAAGTTGCTCGCCAATTGCTGTTGCGTTGTTTTTATTTAACGCAACGAAAATGTTTTTGTCAATTCGGTATCTCAATATGATGAGTTTTATTATCAGTCAATTGTTGTAGCCAATGTTTAGGACATGTGAGTCGGCAATATGCAAGCAATATATGTGAGCAATAATTTTTATTCATAAGTTGAGAAAAATAATATAAAATTAAATAAACGGCTCGAGAAAAGTCAAATAATGATACACAACCGCGGAGCCTTTGGTCCAGGAAGGAAGTGGACATTCAATATACTGTAAAAAAAAACCACAGTGTATTTAGGGACGTTTCGATCATTTATTGTTGATCATCCTCTCAGCACTGTTAAATAAAAAAATTATAATTAAGTACAATCAAATACAATTAAAACTAAAAAAAATTTAAAAAAATGATCGAAACGTTCCTAAATACACTGTTGTTTTTTTACGGTATATTGAATGTCCACTTCCTTCCAGGACCAAAGGCTCCGCGGTTGTGTACCATTATTTAAAATAATATAAGTTTATTGGCGATGAGTTGTTGAGAACTTGCTGTTATTATATTTTGAAAACACTGTTGTTGGCAAGAACATACTGAAAAGAGGATACACCCTTTTGTTACATTGCTGAAAACGTATGAGCAATATTTGTGGCAAGTTGCCAACAACTTGCACTCAGTTGGCTATCTGGGTAATAATTAGAAGTAGAATAAAAAATATGAGCCAAAGTGCTAGATGTGTTCACGCGAAATTTACGATTTTTTAAATTTATATATTCTACCGTGTTTTTTATTTTACAATTTTATTTTATATTTTATAATTTTTTTATTTATTCAAAAATTAATACGTTCATAAATTAATAATATTAGGTCTACCGGAAAGTTCTGTCCGTTTTTGGAATAAAACAAAATACAAATTCAATTTGATTAAATGAAATATTTAGTAAAAAGAAATTCAGATTATATATTCAATTAAAGTAAATGAGAATTGCCTATTTCTATCTTTTTTAACAGTATCTTTGATTTGAAATTATCACAACACGGTAAAAAATTTTTTATATATACTTATACACAAATTAAAATAATTATATCTAATTATGCAAATTTATATGTGTGTGTGCCGAATATGTCCATACAATTTTATACATGGAAAATTTTTTACCGGGAACTTATGTTCGACAAAAACAATTCGTAGTTTAGTGAATTAAATATGTTCATTACCGCTATTGTTAATTCAACTTGTACGAATTTGTTATCTTTGTTACCATATGCTTGAATGAAAAAACCAAGTATTTCAGATAACAAACTGAAACTCAACTAAACGCATTTAGTTGAGTTAATAGTATTTTTTTCTCAGTGTAGCCGTTGCCATTAACTGAATAATTCTTCTTCAGTTCAATGCTATATAAAGTTTGTTGTTGCTATATAAATTTGTTGTTGAACTTGTTAAGAAATTAATAATTAATTGTACAATCGATAAGAGTAAAATTAAAATTACACAAATACGCACTGATATTACACGTAATCACAATTGAGTGTATTTTTTTACATCTACCGACATAAAGAGCTATCAGCTCTGGCGTCGCGATTATTTTCCGGGATCCATCCGGGTCATTTATCATCGTGATTCATTGCAATCTTCATTTATATCGCGCAACACTTCGATAATTGACATCGATATTCAGTCAAGTGTTGTTATGTTACGTGTGATTTTATTTTAGCCCTGCGTCTCTGGTAGCTACAGCAATGTACCGGGTGATTGCAAAAGCTACCAGGCCTGTCTCTGGGGTCGTCAAGAGGTGTTCAAGTGCGCGCCGGGTTTGCACTTCAACAAAGAGACCCGCATCTGCGACTGGCCGTCTCGCGCTAAGTGCACAGATGATGAGAGCGATGAGGAAACTACCGCACAAGCGACCACGATGTGGACGATGACTACAAAGACGACACTTTCGCAAAGACCGATCACAGAACCGACGTTCACTGTGGAGACAACACCCGTTACGTCGATCACGAGTCAACCCGCATCGACTTTACCTTCGGCGATCGTAGATCCTGACAAAGTGTCTTCGCTGTCTGGCTACTACAAGATCGTGTGCTATTTCACCAATTGGAGCTGGTATCGTCGTGGAATTGGCCGTTACCTGCCGGAACACATTGATCACACCCTGTGCACGCATATCGTTTACGGTTTTGCGGTGTTGGATTATTCGGATTTGATTATCAAAGCCCACGATTCCTGGGCTGATTACGACAATCGGTTCTATCAGCGAGTTGTAGCGTACAAGAAGCGAGGACTCAAGATCAGCTTGGCACTGGGAGGATGGAACGATTCCGCTGGCGATAAGTACAGTCGATTGGTTCACAGTCCGACTGCCAGGAAGAAGTTCGTTGATCACGTTATTCAGTTCCTCGAGAAATACGGATTTGACGGATTGGATCTGGATTGGGAATACCCCGTCTGCTGGCAGGTAAATGTTTTTGAAAACTATATATATAAACGGCTAATAGTAAATTTAACAACACAATGAGACCAATAAGCCGTTGTAATCCACAACCCAGATAGCACACTGATGTTTTAAAAACATATTAAAAACATAGGTATTGGACGTTTTGTACATATTTAAAATGTTCAGATTAGGTCCTTAAACATTTTTAGGATATTCTAAAGACGTTCAGTGTTACCTTCCTGGATGTTTTAAAATTGTCTATTTTAAGTACATAACGGACCACAAATGAACCTATTTTAAACGTTCATTGAAAAATATAGGGATTTATATTTTAAAAATAACAAAAGACAAAACTATTTCTTTCTTAATATAATTTTTAATATATTTAGGAATCTCTATTTTAAAAATAACAAATCTTATTAATAAAATAAATTATATTAATTAATTATAATATTTTGTGTTTAATGATAAAACTCTTATCAATATGAGCGGTCGTGCTTCTGGATGCACCCAGATTTCAATTTTAATTACTTTGGTGAAGCGGTAGAGCATGATAATCTTGCAATGTGCGGGTTCGAGTCCTGTTGTGATTTGTTATTTTTTATTTTTTATTTTTTTTAATTTCAATTTGCTAATATTTTACATTAATTTTTGATTTTTATATAATTTTTTATTTACAATAAAACAATGTTAAACAATTTGTAATTATGTCGCTTTTATTTAACTTTTATTATAATTGTAATAACTTTAAAATATAAACAACTTAAAAATTATTGTAAAATAATAATAAAATTTGAAAAAAGAAAAAATAAGAGTTACGAGGACTCGAAGAATCAGTAAAATCATTGCCTGTATATGCTCAACCACTGCGCCATCTCAAAGTAATTGAGATTTAGTTCTACAAAACTAAAGAATATTGCGTTGTGCATGTCAAAATAAAACAGCTATAATATGGACATTTTTAAAACATCTAAATGTAAATATACTTAGTACGTCCAATAATGTACATTTTTAAAACATACATATAATGTTCATGGACGTTTGGACTAAATAAGATCCAAATTTGGACGTCCAATGGATGTTGTGTGCTGTCTGGGAAGTGTAGGTGGTGCTCAGGTAATGAGTAATAATAATAATAAAAAAACAAAAGAGCACAAATTGTGTTTTTTTATTACTCATTACCTGAGCACCACTTACACCTGTGGATTACAACGGCTTATTGGTCTCATTGTGTTGTTAAATGTTTTTTGTTTTTCTGATGTTATTTGATATTGCACACCCAGATAACCAAATCTGTCGAAACAGATTTTGCCAAGTGCTTGTTGCAAATTTTTATCAGCAGAAAGACATCAAATATGATGCAGAGTTTGTTTTTGTCTGGCAATGTTGCAAAATTGCTAGCAAAAATTATATTCAAGCTTGTTGACAAAACATAACAGCAACTTGCTGGCAAAAACCGAGAGCAAAGCTTGGTGTCGTGTTTTGCGCAGATCTTGCCTCATATTTGGCGTCAATTTGGTCTCGGACCAAAAAATATGTTTCAATATGTAATCAAGCTTTGCGCTCGGTTTTTGCTAGCAATTTGCTGTTACTTTGTTGTCGACAAGCTGTGGCAACAAAATCGAAGCCTAATGCGGACACAGTTGATGCCAATTTGCTGAGTAGTTTTTGCTTAAAATTGCTGACAGTTTGCCGGCAAATTGCGAACAAATTGTTTACTGGGACAATTGTCCTCGTTCGTTTCTTCCACGTAATGTGTATATTTGCTTCTCGAACGCATAGGTGAATTGCAACAAGGGGAAGGACACGGATAAGGAGAACTTCGCGGCTCTATTGCGGGAACTGAGCGCCGAGTTCAAGCCGAGAGGATTGTTGCTCTCGGCGGCGGTCTCGCCGAGCAAAAAGGTGATCGACGCGGGATACGACGTTCCCGCACTGTCCAAATATTTGGACTGGATCGCGGTTATGTGCTACGACTTTCACGGTCAATGGGACAAAAAAACGGGCCACGTGGCGCCGTTGTATCAACTCCCGAGCGACTGGGAACCGACGTTCAATGCCGTAAACTTTTTTTTTATTTCGAATATTATTCCCAATACTAATTATCCAATTTTACAACATATACACACACACACACGTGATTCGTTTCTTTTTCAGAATTTTTCGATCAATTACTGGATCTCGAAAGGCGCGCCACCCAGAAACATCGTCATGGGCATGCCGTTGTACGGTCAATCGTTCACAATTAACGATCCTCGAGCGGGAACCGGTCTGAACTCTCCGGCCAGCGCCGGGAACGCCGGCGAGTTCACCAGGGCTGCCGGTTTTCTGTCCTATTACGAAATTTGCGATCGGGTGCGCAATCGCGGTTGGACGGTGGTTCAGGATCCGGAAGGAAGAATAGGTCCTTACGCGCACAAGGGTAGCCAGTGGGTCAGCTTTGACGATCGGGAAATGATCAGACGCAAGGCGCAGTTTGTGCGCGATTTGGGTTTGGGAGGTGGAATGGTGTGGGCTTTGGATTTGGACGATTTTCGCGGACGATGCGGAGACGGGCCTCATCCGTTGATGCGCGAAATTCAACAAGTGCTGGCGAATCCGCCGAACGAGCACGACAGACCTGCGAACAAACCCTCGAAGCCGCCGGTCACGACGATGGCGCCGACCGTCGACAGGCCCGTTGCGCAAACAACACGACCGATCACATCGGCGGTAGACGCGCAGAACAATTTTAAAGTCATCTGTTACTTTACAAACTGGGCGTGGTACCGACAGGAAGGTGGCAGATTCGTTCCGGAGGACATAGATCCCGAACTCTGCACCCACGTGCTTTACGGCTTCGCCGTTCTCGACGGGAATAGTTTGACGATGAAGTCTCACGATCCCTGGGCCGACATAGATAACAAGTTTTACGAAAAGGTGGCGGCTTTCAAATCGAAGGGTTTGAAGGTCCTGATGGCTCTTGGCGGATGGAACGATTCGGCCGGCGACAAGTACAGCAGATTGGTAAACTCGCCCTCAGCCAGGCGCAAGTTTGTCGCGCAAGTTCTGCGCTTTATCGAAAAATACGGCTTCGAAGGTGTCGATCTCGACTGGGAGTATCCAGTTTGTTGGCAGGTTGATTGCAACAAGGGTCCAAAATCCGACAAAGAGAGTTTCAGCGAATTGGTTAAAGAATTGAGCGACGAGTTCAAACCGAGAGGATTGTTGCTCTCGGCAGCGGTCTCGCCGAGCAAAAGGGTGATCGACGCGGGATACGACGTTCCCGCGCTGTCCAAATATTTGGATTGGATCGCTGTTATGTGCTACGACTTTCACGGTCAATGGGACAAAAAAACGGGCCACGTGGCGCCGTTGTATCAACTCCCGAGCGACTGGGAACCGACGTTCAATGCCGTAAACTCTTCTTTATTTCGAATATTATCCCTAACAGTAATTGTTATTCAATTTTTACAACATATACACACGTACGATTCTTCTTCTTCAGAATTTTTCAATTAATTACTGGATAGAAAAAGGTGCGAATCCCAAAAAGTTGATCATGGGCGTGCCGTTGTACGGACAGTCGTTCTCGTTGGCGGAGAGAAACGAGCACGGATTGAACGCGCCAACTTATGGCGGGGGCGAGGCCGGAGAAGCAACCAGAGCAAGAGGATTCTTGGCATATTACGAGGTCTTTTAGTTTTTGATAATTTTTGCATATCAAAAGCATGTACTTAACACTTTACCGACCGCTAGCGTTTCAACAGCATACGCACGTCCGACCGGCCGCTAAGCCACGGAGCCGATTAATCGGCTACCGGTCGGTAAGCGTTGGCGACAAAAAGCCGATTAATCGGCTACCGGCCGGTAATGTGTTAAGAGGTTACTGGATACCTGGACTATAGAGACCTGTAAACCGACTTTTTCTCCTATGACGTTTGGTGTCGTATTTACTTCATTAAATCTAAAATGCTTCTACAAAAATAAGTAAATTGCGCTAAGGATTGGCGCTTGTTCTTCGGAATGTCAAAATTCGTAGCATAAATTTTTTCTTATACAGTTTCCTTCTATTACCTCACTACCCTGATAGCCAAGCATGTTTTGCAAAATCATGTAACTTAATGCTGAGCTGAAGTTTTCAACTAGTTGCTGTGTATTTGCTGAATACATGATGCATAGTCATACGTAATC